ATACTATATATAGTCAATGTGGAATTTACCTATACCAGAAGCTGGTCAGACTATTTATTCAATGTTTGCAAAAAAGTATCATTTTGTTGGGTGTCAATTTCAAGCAAAAGCTTATATTTTCAATGTCATCCTTGAAATGTCTAAAACAATATATGTGTAAAACTATATAAGATATATAAAACAAGTTGTTTTTAGTACTTTGCAGCCCGACAACCTGTCTCGGGCGTGCTCCTATGTTCCTCGTGGTGGGCAAAACCAAAAGCAAAACAACCAGAAGTACCAGAAAGCAAGATTTATGAACACTCCAGGATCAAGAAATTATCAGCCATCACAGAACATTGCTCCAACAGGTACTACTTCCTCAGAGTCTATTTCCATTCCTCATTTCCTTCATTTCCCTTGTCATTCTCCATAAATGACATTCGTCCTAAACAGGCACAGCTCATTTTTTACATTTACTTCTGATCATAATTGATTGGTCACAAAATTGTCCTGAAATTAGGTCAATAATATCATAATTAAGAGATATACATCCTATATGTACAGCCCACCGCTAAAGTAATGTAGGGTTTTACCAATCTCAACGGTTGGCTTTGACTGGCGATTGTTTAATGCGGAGTGATCGAAAAGAAGATGTCAATAGCTAAAGTTGCAGCTGCAAGGGTGACGATACATATAAGCTACATTCAAAGTTTCATTGTAGTCTGGCTAATCGTTCCTAAGCTTCAGAAGCAGAACATACCCATGACTGAAACCCCACATTACTTCTGCTGTGGACTGTACATGGTGCATAACTACTTTGCTCTCATCAATCGCCGAGAGTTTTTAAGCGATCGTTCATTGCCATGGCGAGCATTTGAATTTTTTCCGGGGTAAGGTCTATCAATGTGACCTGCTGACCTGACCTTTCAAAGACTTAGGTCGGAATTTTTCCCCTGTTCAGAAAAGCTGCATCAAAAATCGCATTAGGGGAGTATCCAAACATCCTCACTCCTGGCCCCGCACAATTTAAATAGAGCTACCTACTTGTTTTCTCGATTGCTTGCCTTTGCACATGATTCAGTTGCACTTCTGTACTAGTTAGTTGAAAAACTGTTAGAATTCATTTCGCTTTTCCAGCTCTCGTCACCCTATTTTGATGTTTTTTTCAGGCACACTTCCAGTGCTGATCCGTGGAGATTTCGCCGGATGTCCTGATGAAGAGAGGATCGTGGTTTCGATGAGATGGGGTCTCATTCCTTTCTTTCACAAGGTACCATTGTATTTTTTCTCATTGCTTGCGAGCGTGCGTGAAGTACGATTGAAAGTGCTGCTCGCGTGTTTGCACCTATTTCTTACAAGGGTACCTATTCTTCAAAGACATAGTATCTGAGGCCTGAGCTTTCTACAAATATATCTGACCAACTTATGATATTGCAGGTCTGAACGTCTCAGTGGAAGAGCTACTATGCAGCTGAGTGCTTAATTAGTTGGTCACTGCAGCGCGCTATTTTGCTATTGTTCCAGGGCGACATTGCGGAGATGAAACTGACAACGTTCAACGCCCGTTCGGAAGAGTTCCGCGACAAATCCATGTTCTCTGGACCGTTTAAACGCGGGCAGAGGTAGGTATACACTACGCACGACTATTGTGGTATTGTTTTTTTTTTTTTTTTTTAGTTATTTAGTATGCTTGCTCGTTCTTCATCAATACGTTGCTTCCTCTATCTGTTATTAACATACAAACTTGCAATTTTATGTGCTAAATCTATCTGCGTTCTGCTCTGGCTACGTCTGGTTCACCAGTGCAATTTGGAACCCTCGAGTTGTACCTGCCTCCGATTGAATTAAATTTGGCTCTTCAAAACCTGGATTCGGTAAACCAGCATAACGCCTTTTGGGGCGACTAACGGAGCGAGGGAGAGGGTGGGCCTTGCACGTGCGAAATTGCGAGGGGGTACCTCCAACTGACTTGTGCACGGCACCCTACTAACCGCTCTCCAGCGATGTGCCAAATTTGGGCACAATCGGCCCAGCCATTCTCGAGATCTGGAAGCGGCACCCTGCACGTGCGCACGTGCAAAATGGGTCCCAACTGACTTGTGCACGACACCCTACTAACCGGTCCCTAACTGTGTACCAAATTTGAGCGCAATCGGTCGAGCCGTTCCCCAGATCTGGAAACGACCCCTGCACGTGCGCACGTGCAGCAGCACCCCAACTCTGGCACATGGATATGCAGTGCCTAGTGGGTGCCTACCTACATGCCAACTTTCAGCGCAATCGGCCAAGTAGTTACCGAGATATTGCAACAATTACAAAACTGACACCTCTTCGTTTTGCACGTGGCACGTGCATAAGGGGTCGCCCACATGCATCGGGAATAGTCCAATACTTGGTAGAAGGAATGAAGCTACCCTACAAAAATTACCGCATGTAAATCGGTCAAGTGGTTGTTGAGATATAAGCCTCGCAAAAGCGTCCGCACGGCCGGCCGGCCGCTCATACTCAGAAATTTCCGTTAATCTAAGGAAAGACTACGCTCGCTTCGCTCGCTCCGTAATCAGTGATTTGCGAGTTCTGTCTATGCTTCCTTCTGCTGAAACACACATTCCATTCAAGAGCAGATCTTTTATTTGTGCTGCAATTTTTTCACTAACATCGACCAATGCAGTACTAAATGTTTGGGGATGTGCATTGTGTAATATGCATTGTGCTCTGTTTGTTCAAGATCAGATATCTGGGGCTTTAAATCTTTTCCTTTTGCTCCTATCAGTGCTTCCAGTTCAAATAAGAAATCCGAACGTGATTCGGTCTACTTGATGACGTAAAACGCACCCTCATTAGATGGGGCATGGGCTACCGAAATCAGCTAGCATCGGGAACTTTACAGCCCGGCAGCGATCGACCCGGCTAATAGACCAGTTACTCTTGATGAAATACGCACACGATCGACACCGATACCATCGTTCGATAGGTTACGATAATCGCTGCAATAGTGAAATTTAATCGGCGTTGTCAGTGATTTCCTTGGTGAATAGTTATTGCTTCAATCGAATTGAAGTCGAGCTTTATAGTCGTGCTCAAACTTTTATGAGTCTCTGAATGCGGTTTGAATAAAATGATCGATTTCATTGACTTGTCTTCGTCGATGCCGATGGTAATAGGTATCATCACCTGTCGCCATCGACTGAGAACTTTAATGCCTCGCTTTTTTCAGATGCGTGATTCTGTGCGATGGCTATTACGAATGGAAAAGGGATGGGAACAACAAAAAGCCATACTTCCTCTACACGGAACAAGATAAAAAGGTAACTTCCCTATGCGTGATTTATTTATTTACGATCATAAGCCTCCACGTGGTGATACTATTTGTCGTTGCTCGGGTTGCTGTTTGGTGATCGTTTGGTACATGTTTGGCATGCTTTGTCTATTATGCTTGAGGATAAGTCATTTTATCGGCGAATGTTTATCCACGTATGAAGTTAGTGAGACGAAAATCGGATGGTAATGGTTCTACAACCAATGTTGTCAACCAAGCCAGATGTATTTGTATGATCTGACTGATCGTTGTCCGGCAGTGGGACATTTGTACGGACGTGAACAAGCTGAGCGAAGAGGATCTCTGGAGCGAAGAGGAAGGCTGGAAAGGACCCAAACTGACCATGATGGCGGGCCTGTTTGAGACACGGAAAATGGTGAGACCCTTATCTATGTTTGTTAGATCATTGTATATGTAAAATGAGTTGGTGGATGCTCGGAAACGCGGCTGAAGCGTCTGTCCATGATGGGGTCCTCGATGCATGTTCGTTGTCATTGTCATTACCGAATACCGAGTGTCCGTATGATCCACCTGAGTCGACGAGACGAAAGGCAGCAAATGAGTCGTGAATCGCCGTTCGCAGGACGATGAGGAAGTTCTCTACAGCTGCACTATCCTGACTCAGGCCTCGAACCCTCATCTGACGTGGATCCACCACCGAATGCCCGTGTTCCTGACTACACCGCGGGCGGTCCAGGTAAGACGCGCGTCTGTGTATCCCGCCGTCGACAACGTTCACGGTACTGGAGGCAGTGAACCTCTCCGAGCGCTGCCCATCGCGTGCCATCGGCGATGCATCGGACGTATTGATTCGATTCCGCCGCCATGGCCTTTCGTGCGTCCCATTAGACGGTGTCTGTTGTTGACTGGAGAACAGTGAGCTTGTGGTGACCGTGACCGTTCCCGCAGGACTGGCTGTCTGCCGAGAGCTCGGAGGAGACGGCACTGAGTCAGATCACCCCGGCAGACTCGCTGACCTGGCACCCAGTCTCGTCTGAAATCAACAACGTCCGCAACCGGGACGCCACATACGCGCCGGTGGACGACACCAAACGGTCACCGGCGGCCGGCTTCATGGCCAACTGGCTCGGAAAGGGCAAGGCGGAGAAGCGACCGGCGGAAACAGAGGACGGAGAGGACAAACCCAGCAAACGCTGAAGCGCGGTGAACGATCTGCATTCTGCAACCGCGCCGGACGGCGGGGTGACGAGTCCGCGAGAGGAACAAGCCAAGATTGTTCGTCCTCTAGGGATGGTACCTGAACAATGAACATTTGAGCATTGCTGAACAGCAGTTAGGATGGCTGTTCCTTTTTGCCTTTTAGCGCGTACCTATGTTTTGTATTGTTTTACAATTTGCATTGTAGTTTATTATACCGTTAACTTTGCTGTATGTAGAAACTGGTGTTCGATTTTGTAGCTAACCCAGGTCGCGAGGAGGCTGCCAGGAAGTTATTTTACACCCAGAAAACTTACGACTTACGAACCATCTGGGTCACACCGATGTGGGTCTTCCACGCACTTATGAACTTAAGAATGCGTCCTGAAATAACAATGACGGTGTTTCCCGCCCAGCTAATGCGCACAACTTGAAGGCATGAGACGCTTCAAGTGGTACATATTTACAGTGTCACCTTGTGACTCTCTCCCCTGACATGGTGCGTTCTTGGCTCTCGCTCGCTGGCTCTGCCTCCGAGTGCTCACTCTCGTTTCGCCACCACGTTGATGGGCGGCAGCAGGGTAGGACGGGTGGCCACTGGCGGCATTGGCGGCGGCGGCGGCGGCGCCTCGGGGGTGGGCGCGCCGCCCGACCGGCCGTAGCTGCGCTGCCTCTGACGGACCTGGGCGGCGGCGCGGCGCCACGCGCGCACCGCCCGCCTGCGGCGCGCCGGCCGGCCGCACAGCTGACAGTAGAGCGCCACCAGCAGGGCGGCCAGCACCAGCAGCGGCAGCAGCAGCAGCAGGAACAGCCAGGCGGCGCGGCCGTGCTGCTGGCGCGGCACGGCCAGCGCGCCGTCCTCGTCCTGGCGCACCAGGCAGCTGAGGTTGCTGCCGAGCACCGCCGTCTCGCGCAGAAACTGCTCGCAGGCCAGCCAGGCGTGGCATCGCTCCGGGCCGGCCGAGAGCAGCGCGTGCTCCACGTCCCAGCCGTTGCGGCGGCGCAGCATCAGGTGCGACGCGTACGCCACGTGAGCCGTGAACGCCAGACACGAGCTCCGCTCGGTCTGGCACAGGCGGCACGAGCACGTGCCGTTAGAGGCGACCACGCTGGCCACGTGACACGTGGCTGGCGCGTAGCTGCCCGAGAAGAGCGGCCGCACGCCCTCATCGAGTGTGAGCGGCACCAGCACGCAGACTGCCAGCGCGGTGACGATGATGGCGCCGATCAGCAGCGAGCTGCGCCACGGCGGCGGGCGGCAGCCGCTCTTCCCGGCAGAGTCCGGGTCTGCCAGCAGCCGGCGGCGGCCGCAGCAGCCCAGCCGGCGGGACCGGCGCGCCCGGTCGGCCGCCGGTGTCACCGGCTGCCCGCTGGCCGCCGTCACAGACACAGCCACCTGGGCCATGACGCCGACTGCAGGGCGGACGGCGCGCGACCAGCTCCGCGCGGAGACTGCCGGCCGCTGCCGACCGATCGCGACCCACCGACACTCGTCACATTATTGACGAGCGAGTAACGAGCCACAGTCACGGCCGCATTCATCTTTCAGCGAGGATCGGCCAGTGATCGGGAATCCATAGCGACGGAACGGAGTTCGTAACCGAGCCGCCCCTCTCTGGGGCGGGAATCGCAAAACAGCCGCGCACTGAATGACAATGACTCGGTAATGGTGGCTGTAGTTAGATCTCTATAGCCCTAGAATAACGATCCGTGTATATCGCATCACATGCAACGTATGTATTTAATCCGATTGATGATAGGCAGGGCTTACGGTTAATTATATAGTTAGATGAGGAATGTCGCTAGCCTAGCTTTGGATATTTTTGCTCTGTTGTGTTCTCCGGACGAAGTATCTTCAAAGTACAATCACCAGTGACGAAATCGATTCGATATGAGAAGTTGATAAAGCGCATGTGCATTGTAAAATATAAAAATGGTCATGCATATATTCGAACAAAAGGAGACAGACGTTGAACAAAGAGGTCGCTTCTCCACTGTTTACCGAAAAACACGGCGCATCGCGATATTTACACATACAAAACAGACCCTATCCACAAATCACACTGCGATCGTCATGCTGTACCCAGCTTCACTGTTTTACTTTTTGCCAGCGACTTCATGAAGTCTGCGGGTACGGCGGCCTCGGCGAACCTGGCCAGGTCATCGTCACTGTCGCTGTCACTGTCCTTTCCACTGTCCCCGGCGGCCGGCAACGCCCCGCCGCCGCTGTCTGGCGACTGTGACACGGGCCCGTCACCTCCGGACGGCGGAGGCACCGCGTCAGGGACGGCCGGCTGCCGCTCGCGGCGGCCCTTTTTCTTCAGCTGGTAGCGCTGCAGCTCCACACCGCTCAGTCTGGGCCGCTTGGCCGGCGGCGGGGGCTCCGGGGCTGCCTCCTCGGCCACCTGCAGCGGCGGAGCGCCGGCGAACAGCCGCACCTCGCCCTCGACCGGCGCCGGCCGCAGGTGCTTGCACCGGTCCTTCTCCTTGATCATGCTGCTCACCAGCTGGTCCAGCTTCTTGCCGACAAACTCGCGAAACTCCGGCGTCGTGTCGAGCTCACGCCAGTCCCCCTCAGCCGGCGCCCCTCCCATCTCTGCACGTGAGACATTCATGGCTGAATTATCAGCATATTACCTGAAATATGAGAGGATGCAAGCATGAAAGCTCAACACTAGCATGAAAGCAGAGCTGGTGGTTGCTGCCCATGCATTCACTTTGAAGTTGGAATAATTATTGAAACAAACCCTCATCTTGAAAAATTGAAAAGCTACACAAAGTAGCAAATATCATTTTGCTGCAGAATGGTCTGGGCACTAATGATGCATGTTTTTAACATAAATTGAACTTACATGATCTATGCCACACATGTTAATAATGCCTTGGCCTTGAGCTATGATAATGATGCAGCCATGAGCCAACTCTAGTAGGCATATCCAAAAGCTAAGTGGCAATGTGATATGGTGAGATAAGTGGCAATGTAAGGTGAGGCTGATGTCAATGTAGCATTCTCTGACACATGATCAATAATCCCCAAGTGGCTCCAGCTGTAAGTCGCATCACTTGCATATGCACAGTACAGATATGTTTATGACTTATAATGAAACAACCTGGAATGTAATCACTTCAACATTGACTTCGAATTTGAGTTGGACAGCAAGCCAATTGGGGTGAAAACAAAAAGGACCAGCCAGTAAGTACCTAGTCCTACTAAGTTATATGTCAACGTACTCCATCAGTCATCCATGGCAGCAAGTGGATGTACCAACCATAAGCTAAGGGTCGGAAGCCGCATAGCACATCTATAAAACACTTAAATTGAAATGCAATTACACCAACACCAAATAAAAAAGTCAAAATCTTTCTCACCTATCCTCCACATCCCCACACAGTTCCACATGCTTCCAGTACCTCACCAGTACCTATACATGTTTACAAAATTTGCCCATTTTCATTCATTTCGCTGATTATGTTCAGAACGAGCAGCTTTTGTACATACAAATTTCTATCATCCTGTCGGATTCGTTAAAGGATTTCTCAAAAGCCGCAAATATAGCTTACGAACATACAAGTAACACTATCATTGAAACAACAGCGCATTTTATGTCGCAACCGGTCGATACATGTGATTGGTGGTGGTGGCCGGCGTCTGTTATTGTATTATTTTACGCATTTTCGTAAAAATAGTCCATTCTAAGCGTTGTCAGGCCCTTGGTTTGGCCTAGGACATTGCAGGGGGGGGGGGTATTGCAGATTGCTCCTCAAGGCTCAAACAGTGAATTGGAATGCCTACCGAGTCCACTTCAACTTCCTCCGCAGTTAGCTTATTTTGAAAATTAATATTTGCTCATTTCTATTTGCTCTAATGAATATTGTTTTGAATGAACTTATTTTTGCACATATTTAGTTTTTTCTTATGAAGCCTTGGTTCTTATTATAAAATAAGATTGGCGCTGGCTGCAAGTTTAATTTCTGTCTTCTGAATCTCTGGACTCTGGTTAGTGCTACCAACAGAAAAATTGCCGAATGCGGACTGGACTGCTATTTTTTATTTCTAGGATTCGCCGTCAACTTCAACTTATCTCATGAAAAAATGACCAGCAGTGCAAAAAATATCAGTAAGCCTGGCTGATATCTATTAACATCAGTGTACTTTTTGCTTGGATGGCAAAATTCTGGGACAGCTTTAGGGGGAAAATCCCAGCAGCTTGCAGTTTTGCTGTTGGTAATACTAGGCTGTGCTAGCCTCTGAGCTGATTTGCAACTAAAAAGAGGGTGAAAGATTCATATACATTGGGCATGCATTAGGTCCTATAGTCTAGAATGCCTGATATTATTAATGAGTTGTTTTATTTGGCTCTATTTATGTGTTGAATTGCTGGCTCATTTTTAGGTTTTGTATTGGTTAAGTATTGTGATTTCCTCAGGTGCTTCATTGATAATCAGAATAATTCAATTTATTTTGTGATGACCATTCACTGATCTCTTTATTTTTTCAGGGCTGAAGAAAACCACTCATTCTAGAAATCTGTGAGCAGCTGACAGCAGTAATGCCAACTGTTCTGGCACTGGATGTGTCGCTCTCTATGAGCCGACCTGTGTTCCAGCAGGACCGCTCAGAAGAACCTCCCACTGTCCGCCAGCTGGCCATTAAGGGCATTCATGCGCTGCTTAACCACATTCACCACAACTGCAAGCTAGAATTTGCTGCTTTGGTAAGGTCACTGTAATATGCTTACAGCATTTAATGTTTTTGTTTTGTGTATTCTAGAAGCATTCATCATCATCTTCTTGATGCAATATTGTTTTTTTTCTTTGTGTATGTACATTGGTGTCGATTGAATTACTCTATTTTCACAGGCGGTGTACAGTTCTATGTACGAGATTCTCGGTTCATTTACACGCGACTTTGACCAGCTGAAGAGCCGCCTCGCCTCGCTGGCCGAGTATGACAAGTCGTGTGTGGAGACTGCGCTGCTCGGCGTCAAGGCGGTCGTAGCCGAGGAGTGGGGCAGCGGCACCGCCTGTCAGGTGAGGTTTCTTGTGTCGTGAGGTGCGTTAGATGATCGGTGTGAGATGTCAGATTCAGTTAGCGTTAAAAGCGATCGGGGTCACGGCTTTTCTAGTTGCTCTTAATTGTTATGGGGTGACGGCGTTAAGTGACGACGCGCTTTGACATTAGACATGTTAATTAATGTACGCATCTTGTTTCGTCTTTTGGTAACTTATAAAATTGGATTGTTAATTATCGAGTACGTCTTTTTTGCACACCACCGTCTGTTCGTCGTGGATATTCTGGTTAACCATTATCAGGGACCAGGGTGTCCGTTAAGACGACTGACATTTCTCCATGGCATCTTTCCGGTGACCGTCACCATCACGTCCACCAGGTGATCATAATCAGCGACGGCAGTCTGGGCGTGGGCGACTCGTCGCTGCGCCAGCTGGTGGCCGGCAGCCGGCTGCACCTGCCCTTCTTGTTCCCCTGCCGGCTGGACGTGGTGCTGCTCGGCGAGCGGGCGGAGCTGGAGCGGCGCGGCGCGCCGGCCGCCTTCCAGCGGCTGGTGGAGCTCAGCGGCGGCGAGGGCGCCGTGCACACGCCCGAGCCGCCGCTCTCCGCCAAGGTGCGTACGCTTGATCACTGATCAGTGACCACCTTCATCGCCAAGTTAGATATGTACAGCTGTACACACCGATCACTGAACAGCTCTCTTTGCCATGGTGGATGTTACCTAGCGGCGTGTGTTTCTTATGATTAGAATTTCCACGATAGTAACTGTTACCTACAGTGAAATTTCCTGCTCTGTTGACAGTGATAGTATAATGATGATGTTTTTTATGATACACGTCTGCAGAAAGTGATGATGTCGTATGCGTTACAGTCGACGCTGGCGCTGTTCCGTCGTCTGGCAGAGACCAACTACGCTCCGTTCAGCGGTGTACTCCACTGTGGCGGACTGTCCTCGCGAGTCACACTCTGTCCTCCGCCACAGGTGAGCAGGGTTGAGACTGGACGGCTGGGGAGCTGTACCACATGTAGGGATGGAGAGGGTTCAGTCATCACACTACTGATGATGATAAATTGTGGAGGCTAGACGTCTTTCTCCGTCGCTGATTATACGGCTGTTATATATAATTATACAGCTATTATACGATGTTATACGTTATACGCTGATTATACAGCGATTATACGGCTGATTATGTAAGCGATGTATGTCACCCTGACGACGAGCGAAACCACCGAATTCCGTTCCGTAACAGTGAGCCCCTTTTTGTTGCTCATGCTTACGCACACTGCAATGTGGCCGGTGGTCTTTACCTAAGTTACCGTGGCGATCAACGTATCCCAGGGTCATCTGATCACGCCACCTTTCCCTGACAGACGTACAACCGGACGCGTGACTTTGAGGCTGTGAAGAGGACAGTGTCCCCGGAGCTGCGTATCTGCGGGTTCCTCTCTGTGGCTGACGTTGCCAGTCCTCCGGCCTTCTCCCGGCACCTGGTGCTCCCAGCGCCGTCAGGTGAGCCGCAGAACATTTATCGACATTATCTCGGAAAGGGCGGTCCGTACGGTGCAGCTTCCTCCGTAAGAGCATTAGTCGTGTGTCGTTTGAAACAACTTGAAACGATGGAAGGATGGTAGTTTAATATGCTTCTTAAAGAGCAATTGCAAGTGGTTTATTATTAGAATATCGTCACGGTGTATGTTACGACCGATTTCGTTTTAAAAGTATTATATATTTTTTTGCGCTCACGGTCATCTTCTGCATTGTTTTGTAGCATTTATGTATTTATATCGTGTCTTGCCTATTACTCTGCTGTATGATACTAGCGGTTGGCTAGCGTTTGTTTATTACGGTGTATTTTTTATCACGTTTTCATGATGCCTTTCATCCTTTTCTGCAGAATCTGGAGATGCTCCGGGCGAGCCGTGCTCAGAGGAAGACGAGAACGCGCGCACCGCCTGCTTCTGCGTCCTTTTACATGGCGGACTGAAGGTGAGTATAAGTGCCGGCCGCCGATCCCGTCAGATCAGCAGAAACTCTGTTAGCAGGCTGATATTTATGTGTTAACCGTGCAGTGTCAATTGCCGTCCCCCGATACGCTGCCCGCTGTCAGCGCTTCTTCCCAGTGAGCTATTGGTGACTGATGCTCTGATGAGGACATATTTATAGCCCTGGTTTATAGCTGATCACGTTATTTACCGGCAGAGGGAGAACGCTGCGGCGCTGGTGAACGTCGGGGAGGACTGGTACGGTATCGTTTACTCGTGGGCTGATAACAAGAAAAAGGCTAACCTCATGCTTTCATTGTTTGAACCAGGTGAGACATCAACCACATGATATATGAATGCAGTTTGAGGATAAGTTGATTTGAATGTCAATACTACCGTAATAAATGCCTTCAGCATCGTTGGTCCATTATCTGAATTTGCGACCGTCAAAAGCGCTGTGGTTTGCATGAAGTGTCCCTCTCACAAGTTGCCTGACTCACCCTTCCCTGATACTGCCCCTGCCTCAGGCACGAACGTGCTTCCCTGGCTGGGCGACTTCACGAACCTGGGGCCCGCGGTGCCGGGCGCGCCGTCGCCGTTCCCGATCAAGGTGTCCCGTAAGCGCAGCTACCAGCAGACGTGCGTCACGTGGACGCGCCAGTCCGGCCTGCACTCGGACGTACAGAAGGTTCTCCGGCACGCCCGAAAACTGCCCGACAAGACGCAGAACTTCTACAAGGTGGGTGGGAGTTTGGGTGGCCAGCGGGGATAACTAGATGGCGTTAAGTCTGCGTTTAGAGCCGAGTACGAAACATCTGGCCAAGGGGGGGGGGAGTATATGGCACTCATGTGAGACTTTCGTGCGGGCTAGCGCTCCCTTTATAACCGCAGGTTGTTTGAAATAGACATATCTGTTTGAAACATTTGCAAGTGATGGATCATTGCTGGTGGCCTCTCCTGCCGCCCACCTAACCTTTCCCTCGGCCGCCCGTCCCCGCTGCAGGAGCTGAACCGCCTGCGGAGCGCGGCGCTCTCGTTCGGCTTCTACCAGGTACTGGAGAGCGTGGCCGTAATCCTGGAGCGTGAGTGTACCCTCCTACCGGGCAACGCGCACCCGGACTGTGCGCTGCAGCTGACCCACGCGGCCACGGCACTGCGCCACCCCGAGCACCGGCAGCCGGGCAAACCGATCCAGCCGCTCAGCACGCGGTTCCAGCAGGGCAGCTGAGTAGGGTGACGTGGCCGGGGCGCTGCGAACTCGGTCAGTGGGGGTGCTGTGGCTGGGTGAGGGCAGTGAGGCTGTCTGGAGGTGTCGCTGTGTGCGGAGGGTGGATTACCATGGCGCTGTGGTCATCATGAGTGTTTGTTTTGTCGTGAGTGTGGGTGAGTTGTACTTGTATGTGGCGACGCGGTGTTTAGTACGTGGTTTCATAATTCATATATCATCACTTTGGTGGTGTATTACGAGCAAAGTGTTTTTTTTTTTTTAGCTCATCCCGCATTTTCACACATTAATTGCAATAAACATTTTGTGCTACCTTCTGGTACAATTAAAACGAGAAAGGCTGAGTTGTAAATAGTGTTCAGTTAACTCTTATTTTTAAACCCCCAGACCATGATTTAGAGTTTGACAACACTAAGTTTTATTTCAAGTCAGCATGGACAGAAGTACAGGGAAGCGGATGCAAATTTCCCGTCAGTTTCCGCGCAAACAGACGAAAATTCGAACTAATTCACAAGAGGACCTGCAGCTAGCTGGAAAGAAAAAATGTTTGCCAAGTATCTGTTAAGAACAAATGATATCGGACACATCAGAATAGAGCATGACTTCGGGCACTCATTCTTAGAGGACACTTGATCCCTCGTTCTTGACGGTGCATTTGTGGTGCTATCTTCCCGTGCCATTCACCGCCCGCTCATGGTCGCGCTTCTCCTTCAGCTTGTTGAAGTACTCGAGGGCGAAGTCCAGTAGATCAGGTGGCTGGTGGAGCAGCACGTTGAGTGTGAACTCGAGTAGAATTTCGCGGAGCTGCGGCGGCGCCGCCTGCAGCTCCAGCCCCATTCGGTCTGTACTGCTGCTGCTCATACTGGTCCTGGAACGTAGAGGCCGCCGTCGGCGTTTGGATCAGTCAGTTGCACCAGTGGGAATTAAACTGCTTCACTCTCAGCGTAAAAATGCAAATGGCTTCACCATCAGCGTTATATTACTGGGAACGGCTGGTGCCCTTTGCGCTCTAAAAGCACAAAATACCGAAAGTACCTTCTAGGTAAATGCAAAGTTTTTAAGAGTATTCTCTGGGCAAATTTGAGGCAATCGCTGGTCACTGATGCTGCTCGAGCAAAACTTATTTTGAAGTGAAAGCAGCTTGCTTTACTTACCTTGAAGTGATGTGGAGAAAGCCAGTATGGATTTTACCTAGCAACTGATTTACAAGTAATACAGGAGCAATCTGATTTTTGCTTTAATTTTATGAAGCAACGTGTAATTTAGAAAAGTTCACATGTTACCATCAACCCTTTTGATAAAATTATCGACAAATAAAAATGCGCAAAGCTCCTCAAACGTCTTCCCTCTTGTGGTCCCTTTCTAGATCGCGTGCTTTTTACTTCTTCTATCCTCCGCAATAGCATTACTGCTACGCTTTATGCTACAATTTTACAAATGCCTTTTCAGTTTCAAGATCGCCTATGTCTACTTCTTTGGCTCAACTGCATAAAACAAAGGTTTTCGAATGAAATGAGGCATTGCGATGATGACACATATATTTATTCCAGAAAACATGTGATACGTATTGTCTCATTAAGCCCGCTTCGTTGTCCTATCAATAGAAGTGTTCCTCAGTATTGTATCTGATTGATGATCAGCACATGATGATTCATGTATAATTAACAACCATCCCATCGCGCACATCCCTAGCACCTCGCCAGCCACTCTCCTTTTCGGTACATCATCCACCTTCTTACGACGAATCTTGCGTAACGCCGAACCTCCCTGTGAGTGATATGCTCCCCATATTATTTAGTAGCCTTCTCCATATGACACAAATACGACCTCTCGCTCTAGTGAGACAGTTAGCCCGCCCAGAGCACCTTCCCACCCGTGACGATCACCGCGAGCGTGACCAGCGCTGCCTGCCCCGCCGCTGGTCGCTGGCCGGCCGCCGCCGTCATCTCGTCTGCCAGCTGGACCGCTGGTCGGCGCGGCCGGCCGCTGGTGACCGCTGGTCGCCACGTGACCTCCTCAGGCCACTCGGTGCTCGGTCGGGGTCGGTGCCGCGGGGTCGGCCGGCGCCGCGGCGGCGGCGTCCGCCGGGCGGGCGGCGGCGACGGTGGCGTCGTGACGCGGACCGTCTCGTGCACTCGTATGTAGCCCTCCTCCCGAGAGATGGCGTTGCTGGCCACGCAGGTGTACTGGCCCACGTCGCTGGGGTGGAAGTCGCGGATCTGCAGCGCCACGTGCGTTTTGCGGCCGTGGCTGTGCACCTCGCGCATCACGTACTTCTTCCTGCCAATGGGATCAGATGACGTTCAGTCAATGCACATTTCCGACATGTCGGAGGACGCTCAACCTTATCAGCTTTTGCCATCTCATTATCACATTCGAGGGTCACCGTTCCTTTGATATCAAAGAAGCGCATGTTTTTTTTTCTAAGAAGGCAGATATCGCACAATATCACATCACTGTACTGCCAGGTACTGTGATGTTGTGTGTGATACAGTAAAAAAGAAAATGTGTCTGCAGCCGTTCCTCATGGTAATTGCGTCGGTATTATGTGACACGTGTGGCGGCTCCTGTACCAATGCCTCGGGATGGTGTGACATCAGACACCAGTCTATTAGATTGTCTCCGGTACTGACACGCCGCGCTGAGGCGAATCAAATAGTCATCACTCGATTCCTGCCCGTAACGTTCAAACCTAATCAGCTACATGTGGTACGGCTCTTTCGTGTACGCACGTTTCCCTCTTCCTCGCCCGTTTAAGACCGATATTCTCCAACTCGTTACGAGTTCCTCTGTGACTCCTAGCTCATCCATCCTCTATCTCCCAACCCTCACACCCCTGTCCCTGGTACGCATCACCCGCAGCCCGTCCACCGATCCACTGACCCGTCCACACCCCAACAGGTCATCCACCAATCCACTCGGTACACTGACCCATCCACCCCGTCCACTGACCCGTCCACCCCGTCCACTGACCCGTCCACCCCGTCCACAACCCGTCCACCCCATCCACTGACCCGTCCATGCGCAGCGGCTGGCCTGCCTTGAGCCACAGTGTGGACGGCACCGGGTGTGACTCGATCTGGCACTCGAGGGTGACGTCGGAGCCGCGCGGGGCACTCATCAGCTGGTGGGGCACCCGCACCACCGGAGCAACTGAGGGAGGGCACGGGGTCTGTCAGCAACTTAAGCTAATTGGGTGCCCGGCTTTCTATTGCGCTTTTCAGTTTTCAGGTTAAATAAATGAATCGTGCTAATTAGTTTTAATTGGCTAAAACAATGCATAGTTACTTATTCCAAGTGCCTTGTTATCTGATGGAGCAAAGTATAAGTATCGCTCCTCAGAATAGATTCCGGCTCATCTGTATCTTTTTAGCATACATTTGCATGCTGCAGTGCATTGTTGACAAGCCAATTACGAGTGTTTTTATTCGTGATTTGTTCCCTATTTCGTGCTCATCACTGCTTACTTATCGCATTTCCCTCTATTTTTGCGTTAAGTTACGCCTGTCGCTGTCCTAGCAGGACGGGACTGCAGCACGCCCAGCGGCAGACATTCCGTCCTCCTGCTGATGCGGTCGGTACCGCCTAGTTACTCACAGGCCACGTTGACCATGATGCGCTTGCTGATGGCGGGTGGTACCTCGTTGTTGGCGATGCAGTAGTAGGCGCCGTCATGGTGCCGACTGACCTTCACCAGACCCAGCCAGGCGCCGCGGTGCACGGCTAGGGAGGTAGTGGACAGGTCACAGACTATCGAGCCGTCATAAACACAGCCGATCACTGCACTTTGGATTGAAATGAGCTCACAGCTGTTGCTAGCGAATTGTATGTTAGAGCCGCAAAATGAGACATCAAATATTTGCACAATGCACATGGCACATCGCCGCGTCGTTTTTCATTCTATATTCAGTGGCTAATACTCACGTATTTTGACGGGCGGGTCGGTGTCAGAGAGCAGGATGGGCAGGTCGTCCTCGCGGCGCCAGCTGATGCGCGGCGGCGGGTCACCCTCGGCGCGACAGGTCAAGGTCACGTTCTCGCCGGAGCGCACGTTGACGTCCTGGCTGGTGCGGTTGTTGTCGAACGCCGGGGGAACTGCGATGGAAAGAGAGGATGCCATGGTAGGCTATAGTTCAGTTCAGCCGCTCATAACGAGTCGTTGTCTCTGCTCACCGACACCGGAGGATTAGTGACTCGGCTCTATTCGGAGGAGTTGAAAGCTAACGTTAACCTCTTGGCATGAATGAACTATTTTTGATAAGACACGAATACAAATTGAATTCCCTTCTAGGGCAAGGGCACAATGAAATTCGGTAATTGTGCCCTTGCAATCTTATTTGCTCCGCTTGGCACGTTAGCTCTCCGTTCGGAACCCCACATTTTTTTCGGACTTTGCGCCGTGACGACTCTACGACGCCTCTCGCCGCCCCAAACGTACCCTGCACGGTGACGCAGCCGACCTGTTTCTTCATGACTGCCGTGTTGATCTGGCACATGTAGCAGCCGCCGTCTGCCGGCTGGGCGCGCCGCACGTGCAGCGACCAGCCGCGCTGCTGGTCGTGCGTCACCGAGATACGCTGGTTGGTGGTGACGGTGCGCGTGTGTAGTGACAGGATCGTCTGCGTGTCCGCCTTCAGCCAGCCCACCTGAGGGCGACGGTGGACACGTCAGGGCAGCCGGGTGGGCTGGAAGAGTAGGTAGGTACTGAGGGGTGGTCTGGAGGTGGCTGACCGGGACATTGCAACTGAGAAAGAATACTGAAGGGTGGAGAGTTCGGGTGTAGCATTGTCACTACGTCCAATACGCGGCAGAACTGCTTTCGCGTAAAAGAAAACACAAATGTGAAACACGATATGTGGCCTAAATAAAGAACAAGGCGAGTGAAAGAGAGAGAGAGAGAGAGAGAGAGAGAGAGAGAGAGAGAGAGAGAGAGAGAGAGAGAGAGAGAGAGAGAGAGAGAGAGAGAGAGAGAGAGAGAGAGAGAGAGAGAGAGAGAGAGAGAGAGAGAGAGAGAGAGAGAGAGAGAGAGAGAGAGAGAGAGAGAGAGAGAGAGAGAGAGAGAGAGAGAGAGAGAGAGAGAGAGAGAGAGAGAGAGAGAGAGAGAGAGAGAGAGAGAGAGAGAGAGAGAGAGAGAGAGAGAGAGAGAGAGAGAGAGAGAGAGAGAGAGAGAGAGAGAGAGAGAGAGAGAGAGAGAGAGAGAGAGAGAGAGAGAGAGAGAGAGAGAGAGAGAGAGAGAGAGAGAGAGAGAGAGAGAGAGAGAGAGAGAGAGAGAGAGAGAGAGAGAGAGAGAGAGAGAGAGAGAGAGAGAGAGAGAGAGAGAGAGAGAGAGAGAGAGAGAGAGAGAGGCCTGTGACGCGCGACTCACGCGGTACGGTCCGAGGTGTTTGACGGTGCAGGTGAGCACCACCTCCCGGCCCTGGGACACGGTCACGTTCTGCACCTGACCCACGAACATCGGCTCCGGCACGCCCTCGAACATGTTGAACCCGTGACCTGAGGAAGAAGCAGTCGATCATGTTATACCTGTGACCTGAGAACACAGCAGTCGAACATGGTGAACCCATTACTTGAGGATGGCGAACATATGAACAGACGTCATCTGAGGTCTGACTCTGATGTGCAAAAAGGAAGACGCCTTCTTTGGACATTACGCAACAAGAGCCGTTTTATGACATCGAAGTATGACATTACATCGAAATCCGAAGATATACGTCCCTGAAAAGGAAGTTGCCTTTATAGCGCCCTTGCATGTAATGAAATGATGTTGAAAACTGGGGACACAGAACTGCTAGCATATACGGCCTACAGGATGCAAATGACAGGCTAAGTTACTATATACCAAAGTTGTTTGCAAGAAAAAAAAAACGAAGTAGTGCTGGTGAACATGCTCTTTTTGCGAGCCGACTCTTGCGGCATCTGGCCAAGAGTGGCATCGTGCCATTGTAGTAATTGTCTCCCGCGTTTACAGCGTGTCTCAAAGGACCGGTACGGCGGGCGTGAGAATCCCTTATGGCCCGTTTTCTGAAACTCGTTTCTCTTCTGGACAATATTTGACTGCTGCCGGTCGTCGACCAGCCTCTGTCGTGTTCTGTAAGTAGTTTCGTGTCACGAACCTCGAGAATCTTTTGAGTAATAACAGTGGGAAGTCAAAGCTCACTTCGCAAATGTGGACAACGCAACAATATCCCGTCTACAATTGATGCATACCTGCAGCATGTATGAAACAGTAGTCTGAATACCCTGCGTATTCCACACAAGTTTTTACAAACCACAGGCAGAATGCAACCAAGTACCTAAGTGCTTTATATCTATGCTTAGTACGATCGTCCCCAGTTTCATTTCGACGAGCCTACCACAGAGATAGCCAATGGGGTCTCCCGAAGCCGTGCGGCACAGCATAACTTCAGGCGCTTTACCGCTACTGCCATCTAGCGAGCGATTGAAAAGTCGTGCGGCACAGCATAACTTCAGGCGCTATCACTGCTGCCATCTAGCGAGAGAGCGACAAGTCGTGCGGCACAGCATAACTTCAGGCGCTAATCACTCCTGCCATCTAGTGAGCAATCGAGAAGTAGTTATTGCGGTACAGCATATGTGCAGGTGCTAATCGTTACTACCATCTAGCGAGAGGACGGAGCCATGCGACACAGCATAACTCCAGGCGCTCGACACTCTTGCCGTCAAGCGAAACAGCGGCAAGTCACGCGGCACAGCATAACTTCAGGCGCTCAACGCTTGCCGTCTAGCGAAACAGCAGCAAGAAATGCCGCTCCCCCGACACTTTCTCCATCAACCAAGGAAATAATGCCGTGACATTTTATGTCTTATAATGATGTCACGGTTAAAGGACGCTAACCATGAAGTGACGACCAACAAAACAAGAGAAATCAGAAAATATTGACATCACAAAAGTCCTTTGCTCACGGATGAGTCTCACGAACAGGATTCACGAATGATGATGGACCCACGAATTGGAACTTCACTAGGTCGTAACTGATGCCATCGTAATCGCCCTTTAGACATTCTGGGCGTTGTGGTTCGGATTTGGGAAGCTTTTATGCCACAGTACCTGCCCTGTACGAGCTACCGTAACTCCAGCACAGGCTGGATGGTAGCAGTGACCCGCTGCAGTGCCGCCGTCGGTCAGCCCTCTCTGTCCGGCGCGCGCCGGCGGCGGCTCCCCGGTGCGGCGTGTTCCCAGGGGGACCGGCACCCCGCGGACCGGCGGCGGTCCCGGCGAATCACCCGACCGGATTAGCCGCAGAGGTAGTTATGACGCGCCATCCATATCGCGCGTGGGCCGACGCCGTGCCCCGATCGCGTGTTTACTTATTCCGCCGCCATCCGGCTATCTGCGCCCGTCCCCTCAGGAGACACTTATTATCGGACGATTTTCATTATCTCCTCGGGCGTATGGGAGGAAAATATTGTTGCTGCCGGTGAACAATCGTGCCGTCGGTGGCTTCCATTCAGCGGCCGTGTTTGGGGTGGCCGTCACCCAGGGGCATTGTGGACCGGTAATAAGTCGGTCCGGCTGCCCGAGGGGCGCCGACGGGCCTGATTACCAACTCATTCGGACCGGCTGGTGACGCCGGAACACGCCGACAGGCAGACACGTGAGTGGACGGGGCCGCCCGCAGCGGTCAGGGATAGATACGGCATCATCATCACGGAGTGAGACAGGACCTAACCTAACCAGGCTGTTTGGATTTACATGGATCCAAGTAGGTCCAAGACGCGCTGGTTCAGTTGAAGAGTAGTCACCGTGAACGAGACAAGAATAGGATGAAGGTACAGTCCATTGGAAGGAGCTATGGAAAGACTATGTAGCGATTACAGAAACATTGAGCTCAGCAAAAAAAAACCCTGAGTGTGAGGTCACACTGAATCCCCATCATCGATCGCTCGCCTCCATGCCCATCATCACCGAATATCCATCGGGCCATGTCTCCGCTGATCATCCGGCGCGCGTGCTACCACTCTAGCCGTGAGTCCCGGCGTGGGACGTGGGGCACTAATTAGGCGCGTCGCCCGGACCGCCACCATCGCCGGCCGCGCCGGCCGGAACTAACCGGTGCCGACGGGGCGCACACAAACAATCACGGCCGAACGGGCGGCCCCGGACGGCCGGCCGTCGATCTGTGACCCGGGCCGGCTGGTTCGGAGGTTGAACGAACGCCATAAACCGTCAGCTACTGGGTGATCAGGGGCATCGCGAGTTGAGGGTCGCTGGAATGCGTATGCACTTACTTATACGCTTATGCTTGCTTTTGCCTGTACTTGCGGGAGCTCCCACATACAGATTTCCGGCTGTCAATATGAGTTGGTTATATGACTAGTGTGGTCAGTGGAATAATGAGGATCTATCAGAAGGGGTGATAGGAAGGTCCATCACCGACAGCAGGATGCGCAGGTGTGTCCGCCCTCAGGAATGACGTCAAGGTCAGGTCCACCATAGGTCATCGCTGCGAGGCTCGTCAATAGGCATCGACGGCTCTGCTATGTGCGCTCACTGCCAAGGCGGAACTCGGAATAATAATGGGGTAGAAATGTAATACGAAAGGCGTCTGTTTCTTTAATTGTAAAAGCCTTAAAAATGCCTTAAATGATTGAAATAAGAAAATAGCTGAGAACTTAAGTCATGGAAATGTTTGTGCTCCAGTTTCATTCACTATCCCAACGGTCTCTGTTATAGATCCGAGAGACATAAAGCATACCGCCGCGCTGTTGGATCGCGCCCCGCCCGTGCCGCCGAACACCGATGTGGTGCGGTGCAGTATACCAATTCAGGCGCTCGGAGTGCATTGGCTTGCATAGTGTGTGCTTGTAGGATCCCCTACGAGGTACGACGTTGGAAAAGGAGCGCAAAGAACGGCATAAATTAAAATCATCCCTTTTTCGCATCAAGCGTGTCCCCTTGTACACCAACGGTACTCGTTCGTCTCCGCCCAGCCCGCTGTCCGCGTATGAGCCGTGTCGTCGCCCCGGCCGCGTCTGACGGCGCCGGTCATGTCACGGTCACTGAGCACAGCTCGCCGGCCGCCTCCCTGCAGGACCCTTGGCCGCGCGGTGGCAGACAGCTCGTGAAATGGCGGTCCGAGGCGACTGTTTTTACTCTGTCATCTGATTGCCGAGCGCTTGTGGTAATTATTGACTAGCAGTGATACAAACTAGTTAGTTACATAGAATGTCTGCAGTTCACTGCACGACATGATACGTACGTACTTATCTATTTGTGTAAGGCACTTTTTCCGCTTGATATTTAAATTTCAGTGATTTTGTAAGCTGCCTTCACAGTTCACACCTACACGAGCATTGCAAGTAGGTATGAGCATTATGATACCTATCTACAATTACATCCCTTCAGCGCAACCGGCACACGGATACAAGTTACAACTGTCGGTGAAACTTATGTTACCATTGTCGCTGTCGCACTCGAGGATTGTGTTCAGATTTTATCAGACAACTCTTTCAACATCAACGATATTCGATATATAACATTTGATGAGGCGACAATGCTCGCCACCGGATGCCTTATAATTGCATATGTAAAATGAGCCACACGGCGTAATGTAAAAATGTCATATGATCCGTAAACAAAGGGTACAAAATGTGGATGCGTAATGTGCAACAGGACATCCGCCATGTACACTTTGCTGTATAAATTTTACAAAAACACGACAATCTGCTCTTTTTTTAATTAGTTGCCTTTTTAGTTGGTTGACCTCAATTTTAGGTATCGTCTTCAACACCAATCTTGTGTAAGTTAGGATGATTTGATTTGACGGGGAAGTGAAATTTTGTATCCGCTCCATGGCAATGAACACACGCATTTCTTTTACCACCATCGCTGAACCTGGATGCGTCCTCAAGGATTCAGACATATTCTATCAGACATTTTTTCAACAGCATGTTTCAGCCGACTTGTGTCAGTGTTTCGTTCCTTTAGCAAGTGCTCTGCGTTAAAGAGTGCGTCGACCGTCAGGAGGAGACAGCAAATGGCGCTAATACCAAATCAAACGTCGTAAGTCACTCGGTGACCTAAGATCTGCAATCTACTGCCAGGTTCGGGTCTTTGTAAGAGACGTTTTTAAAATTTCTGCAGAGCAGCGGTTTGATATCGTCTCGTTTTTATGTCCAGCAATGCAAAATAACTTGTATAGTTTTATGAGGAAGAGTTATTTATGAGTGCCGACGTAAAGAGCCAAACTGTATAGGTATTGACCTAATTCAGTTAGGTAGGGACTTTGACCCAGAGACAGTGGCACGGGAACGTCTTCCAGACTTGGGGGGGGGGGGGAGGGCTGAACATTTCCCTCGTGTGTCTGAGATAATTTAAAGAAAGCACTAACAAATGACCCGAAATGACCTCGATGACGTTACAGTCATTTTCCACCTAAATGTGCGATATCTACGTACTCCATAGATAAAACCTGCATCGAATCACGCAATCATGGCCAGATATAGACCAAAGACTGCTGAAATTTAGCTTGCAGAGTGACATACTGTATGGTGCGCCGAGTCATGCTTTATTGCAATCGGCTGCTGCTACTTTACGCACATAAAAAGCTATCAAGGACATCGAACGCTTGAATTTTCGAGCCGGCTTACTTTTTACACCGTTGTTGCTTTGCGTTTCGATTTTGCACCAATGTGCTCGTAACCTTTCTTTTAATGAAATTGATGGCCAATTAATACCACATTGCCACATTATATGATATCTCTTCCTGCTTACCTATATAGTGTGCTGGTACCGCAGAAAACGGGCTGCCTAATACGCCATCTAAGTAAGCAAACGTATTCCAGCACAAGTTATCACCCATGGGTCTCTGAAAACTCATACCGTTTTGTTACATTTTAGTTACACTCGATTCATATTTTGAAAACAAACAGATATTTTCTGCAATAAGGGCTAACTGCTAAAATAATGGCAAAGAGGCGACATAATTGTCCTGAACAGTGGCATCTTGGTGATTCTACTCGTACATTCATGCTTCAGAAAATTGGCCTGGCTATTTAGTAGGACCGGACACAATGTCCACGCTGTTGGAGCTCCTGTCCTTGCCCATTACAGCAGGGAAAAGCGGGCCTCACGGGGCACGGGCGCCTGACGGAGGAGACCTGACAGTACCTGCAGCAGGGGACCGTTTGCCGCCCGGTTAGACTGGTCCTCACCTGCGGGGCCGCTGCTGCCCGTCCAGCTGCTCCCACTGACGCTGCCGGGGCGGACGGTCAGCTGAAGGGTCAGCACGGTCACCAGGAGCCCGGTGAGCGCCATGGCCGGCGGCGGCCGCGCGGGGCCGCATCTCCTGCCGGCCGGCCGCGAGCGGAGCACGGCCCGGCGGTGCGCGGGGGCGGAGCGAGTGACGGGGACGCTGCGCGCACACACGGGGAGTGGAGGGGGAACAGGGACTGGGGTCTGCGTGACTGCAGACACACCTCAGCCACCGGTGCTTACCTGGTATGACTCCAATAACCAATTAACTGAAAATAGCATTGCCTTTGAAATGTGTACTTATTTTTCCTATCAAACGTTCAAATGTACATAGTGGCAGATTCTCGATTTAATGACGAAGATTTGTATTTTACAGAAGTTAAATACTTTGGAAATTACTTTCATGTTCTTGTGGCGATATCGATTATTTGGGAACAGCGTTGATTTTACGTAAAACTGTGCTCCAAATAAATATTAATTCATCTGGACATGGTCTGTGTAACTTTTACACATAGGTTTATTGCACTTCTCATATGGAACGGGAAAGGTCTGCAAAATATGAGTTTTAACTTTCAATTAAGTCTATATGTAGATTTGTGCTGGGGATTAAAGACAACCAAATGCAACATTGATTTGAATAAGTTTCATGTACTGCCCGTTTACCTTTCCATGTCTTTTAACTCTCGCCCGTATTGGTGTTTTGCCAGCCTCGAACGTATAGGGGAGACCCGGGAGGTATAGGCCGGTTTTGTGAAGAGGCAATTTTCCAGTGGACAGCGGCTAGACCCGTTTTTTCACTCTCGGTGTACGTGAAATTGCCTTTCGCCTGCAAAGTGTGCCTGATATTAGGCATCTGGGATCAGCTATCTTGTCTCGAGATAACTTTCAATAAATCATGCGCTTTTTCGATCCATCAAAATACACCGGGAGGTATGGGCCATGGCCCGGGAGGTAGGGGCCGGTGCTATATTTCATATTCTTTTCTCGACATTGAGAAAAATACCCGTAGCTGGGATCTACCTTGATCTCTCTTGGAACCCAGGAACCGCATAAGCGGCCAACAGCTTACTTCATGGAGGTTAAGTGGGCAATGGGCACACATGTATTTTGGTAAACCCAATCATGCTCCATAAAATAAGATAACTAATGTTTTTTCTCTTCGAATGAAATTTATAGTTAAATTTTCGACCTTGCGCGACAAAAATAAGTTATTGAAGAGGAAATTCAACGAAAGCATCTTCTTATTGATTTAGGATCACCGGAGGTGGGTGGCCCGAACTACCCGGTTGGGACGCCAGAATGTGCGTGGCATCTCAGCTCATAATCTTGCAAGAAAGCTTCAAATTGTCTATCCAGTCTTAACCCTCGCCGGCCGAGGGGAGGGGGGGGGGGCGGGTGCCGCCCCCCATAGTTTTTTTTCGCGATAGCTCCGAACACGCTGGCGATAGAGAGCTGAACTTGGCATACCTGACCTTTGATTCAAGCCGGATCATTTAACCCTATTAGTAGCAGGGGGGGGGTTGTTTTCATCCACCCCTCAGGTTTTTCGGGAATATCTCCGAAACCGCTGAAGCTACGATGCTGAAATTTTCTGACCTTTCCTAAAACTAAATTGGGCACATTCCCTGAAAATTTCAAGTTCATAACTTTACCAGGGGCGGCTCCAGAGCACTGGGAATTGGGGGTCCTATTCGTGAAGCGAATTTGGGCGAAGATCACGATGCTGATGTATTATAACTGTATGCACCAGTTTTACGAATAGTGAATGAAAGGTATCATGTGATAACATATACAAAGTTATTGTGCATCCTCTTTTGACACGTTTTTGCTATAATAGGCGGATCCAGGCGCCCAAAAAGGGGGGTTGTGTTTTACCTCCCAACATAGGTGCCCTGACACCGCCTATGCATGACCAATACAATTGTAGTCGTTCTCTCATAAGAAAATTGTAACATAACAAGACCATTACCACCCTTTTTAGAAACAGTACCAACAAAAACCTTATTAACTATACTTTTTGTGTACCCCCAATCTCAATGATCTGTATCCGCCTAGGATTTTTGAAAATGCATATTTTTAGGATCCATGTGAATTCCTGGTTCATTCTCTATCGATCGGCAAAAGTTGCGTTAAGATTGGTTCAGAAACCTGGCCGTGATAAACAGTCTAAAAAGGATCTGCAATTTGCCCGTTTTTACCCCCCCCCCCCCCTCTACCCCCTATTTACATTTTTTAATTTTTATTTTTTTAGAAATGTAGATCACGTTGAGCAAAATCGAATGCCGTTTGAATTTTGAAAATCGGCCCTTTAGATCTCGAGATATCAGGGGGAAGGGGTCGTAAACAGCCCCCCTTCCACTAATAGGGGTAGCCAGGAGCCTGTCACTAATAGGGTTAACACCAACCGCATTTTCGGGTCAGGTCAGGTCACTGACCTATGACGTCATAAGTGAACCTCTGCACGGTCTTCAGATATCGCAACTTCGCAACGCCCTCACTGCCAGAGGAGCTTTCACAGGGAAATGAAACTTTCAGGATCTAATATCCATTATGAGTCTTACAACTTTTATATCTCGGATTTTTCCTAAAGGTCATATGAGGTCAGGTCATTTTCGTGACCTCACCATTATAAGTCAATGGGGAAAAATGAAAACTGCTCTTTTGGCGCCGGGAACGATCTCCAACTACCTCAAGCACACAGAATCGTGATTTGGTGCACTCCTTGCAAGGTAAGATGCGTCACTTTTGCAATGTTGACCTTGCGTGACGTCATTTATGACGTCATTAGGGTAATATCAGTTTTTCGTCAATAACTCCCGATCAAAATTGAGCTAGCGAGTCGGGAAAGCCGCCAATGGACTCAGGAGGACCTCTCGAATCGAATGATATGCGACATGACCTACTTCGACCAATTTCGTGACCTGGGGATGCTGACCTGACCGTGACCTGAGGTCAACACCCTAAGGTGACCTCACCCAAATAAAAAGCATATCATTCGACGCGCCTAAGCGAGGCGAGCACGGTGCTGCCGAAATCGTGACTCTGCGGCCGTTTTTTTGCGAAGTTATTCACCGAAAACGGAACCGTACCTTGGGGCACCTGACCTGACCTCAGAGGTCACCGGTTGAACTAGGACCTTAAAATCGGGTATCAATCTCTGCGTCTCGTAACGGCGCACACGCTTGTTTTTTTCCGCGACGCGCTAGCTCCACCAGGGGCGAAACGGCGAGAGGGGGGTCGTACCCGCCCCCTCCCCCTCGGCCGGCGCGTATGTAGAAAACCAATATGTCCGGCGAGGGTTAATTTGCATGCTTTAAACTTTATGTTTGCGATGGTCTGACATCATAAAGCAAGCCTGGCTCAAATTTACCACGAGTTTTCTGTATGTTCCCTATTTAACTCGAAGAGGACAAAAACGTTTATCACCGCTCATTGCCAAAGAAGAATGAGCAGGATTTTAGAAATCACGTGGCTTGTATAACGGAATGGCTGCTACCAGTTTACGTGGTCAAATGTGTAAAAATGCGCAACACTTCTTCAAAACTGCGATGGCCCATACCTCCCGGGGGCCCATACCTCCCGGGTCTCCCATATAGGGGAACGTACAGCCTCGGCCCTCGAACGTAACCGGGCGGCAAGAGTTGGACCCCCTTTGCCGTTTGGCCCCCGATCGAGCTAGAGCTTAGCACAATTACGAGCATGTTGTTGCCCGCGACGAGAGGAAGCCGGTGATGCCCAATTTTAAGGTCCTAGGTCACTGGTTGACCTGTCAGGTCAGGTCAATGACCCAAAAGTCGGGAAAATTGGGACCTGTTAGAACATCGTAAAATGAGTTTGCTAATGTTTTTTTTCTGGGTGCTGATCATGAATTTCATGTTAGTTTTAATCACAGATGATGTCTTCATGCATTTAGTCCAGGTCATATCAGGTCAGGTCAGTTCAGGTCAACTTACTCCACCTGGTCGGATAAGGTGGCTATTTGCACTCTCACGGAAACGCCTGGCAACTGCGAAACGAATGCAGCTAAGCTGCTGCGCTTCCGGTTTCAGCTGCGCAACTATTCAGGCTTCTTTGATTGTGGTTCTCGATGTAGCATCCACTAAAGCTAAGCATGCCCGACCATTCTTTTTCCTACCCGAGCTGCAAACCGTTCACTCGACCGCTCGAACTAAACGTGTATGTGGTAGCATCGTCATATGAACAGGAACTGCAACGCCGGACCACATCGCCAGTATGCTGGCAGCGGAACATGATTTCTGTAAGTGCGCTCACAAAAGAATACAAGTGTTCCTGCTAGCCTCCATAACATTAAACATGCTGATTAAAAAAGGAATTACCTATGCCCTGAATATAATAAGAAAATATAACGAACGAGATAAAGTGTAGGTACGACAAATAAACAAAGAGTGAATACTGAATCAATAGACGTTGCAATGTTAGCAGTGAACTAAGGCGAATTGCCGACTTATTCCGACGATGGAGACTAAACGAGACAGCTCATATCCGTTGTGGGGTTAGAAAAACATAAAACGGGACATAAAACAGTCACTATGGTGAATGTAAATGAACAGGCAACAGCACGGTCCGTGTCAAAAGATGTCGGATTCCTTTGGGGATTAGGGGAAAGCTGGGAGATGTTTAAGCGCGAAAGCAGACAAGAGAGTCCGCAAATAAATCAGCCGGCTGAAGGTGGAAGATCAGACAGCGGGCAACCACTAATGTTCTGAGTTGTATAGGACAGTGGACACTGGACGGCCACCTTTGTCCGAGCTGCCCAGTCCGGAGCAGATGGTTCGGTATCGCCGCGCCCGGGGCAGACACCAATCGATCACTCGCACCACATTATAGGCTATTGAGCAGGGCGGGCGGCGCCGGCCGTGGCAGCGCATACCACGCGCCGCGCACGAGGGCCCTTCCGCCCCGGCCGGTTGGTCCTCCCGGTCGGGAGTTATGCATAGAGCCAACTTCGCCCGGTTAATGATGGCCACCCGCGACCGACGAGGGTCAGCCGGCCGCTAAACAATAACAGCGCGGCGCCCCACCTCCACTCAGGTGGCTACCGAGGCTGGCACATTGAACACCAAGTTCAT